GTTTTGCTTGTTACAGATGTGGAATTCACCAGGCCAATCTTGGCTGAAATTGCAGCCTGCAAACTGATGGACGTGAGGACCCGGGGCAGCGTCTTCAGGCTCTGCAGGTTCACTCCACGCCGGTGGAGCCAAGAGAAGCAGGAGGGGTGGGGGAGAACGCCCGCATCCAGGCCGGTGACAGGTAGCAGGCAACTGTCAACAGGATCCAGGAACCGCCAAGGCACAGAGAAAGATGAAAATAATCCATTTCTTGTCTGAGAAATGGACGTAGAATGGGCCAGGCAGATCTTTAGTTTCACCAACTGTCATCCACGTTTACCGCGGTAACAACAACGTTTCCGCCGGGGGGGGGGGGGGGGCGGCGCAGGTGCCTGGAGGAGATGAGCTGGCACTCCTGATAGGAGCGGGGGTAAAATTTTTGTCCACCATAATCAAAGGCACTGAGAGTGGCAACTACATGTCGAATATCCAGGAGGGACTGGAAAAAAAAATGTATGTGTGCATCATGCGTACCACAAATATGTGAAGGACATCTTTTGTTAATATAAGTACGTAAATGGGCACTTCCTGCTTGCTCTCAACGAAGACGGACACTTTTCCTCCCACTCCTGATGCTCTCCTGCTTCTGCTCTTGTCCTATGAATCTTTTTCAGAGTGTCACAATCCTCACAGTTGGAACCCATTTGCAGGGAGGCGAGCGAGGCAGGAGTTTAAATAAAAATAATTTATTTAAACAATAAAACAAAAGGCTGTCGGTGCAGCAAAACTTACTCTGGCAAAACAGGATCAAAACAAGGCTGAACAGGACATCAGAGTACACAGGCAGAGCAGATCATCAGGTGGACAAAAACAGACAGGACAGAGGAGGACTGAGATGTCTGTGAATACAGAACAATGACCGGACGAGGAGTGAAGGAGAGAAAGGCTTTTTATAAGACAGAGGGAGAGTGAGTAATGAGAGCACCTGGGCAGGTGGCTGATGAGGGACAGGTGTGAATGATAAAGACTGAGGAGTGGAGAGGCAGACTGAGGAGTGAGTGGAAAACAGGACCAGATACACAGGAACAGAAACCACACAAAGAGCAGAACTACAAGAGCACAAAAAGCAGAGTGGGGAACACAGACACAAACAGAAACAGCAAATGGTACCATCCTTACACAGAGCCTCTCTTTACATATCTTCTGAAGTGTAAATTATGGATCTGGTCAGCTGGTCTTTCAGTGCAATTGATCAAATTTTCTCGACAGGAAGACAGGGCGAAGGAGAGCCCTCTTGCCCTGACGGGACACTTGCAGCTGGAAACACGATGGATTCCTGGGGGCAGTGGAAGATCATGTCTGTCCGTATTGTCCGTTGAGGATGTAGAAGACGTGTACATAATTGGATTTATGATAACAGGATTTCTGCTTTTTGGAGTTGGTAGATGCCTGGCATATCGACAAATTCGGAAGACGTCGGCAGCTGTTCTGGCCATTGTGAGGCTGCCTGCCTTGTCTGAAGGATTGCACAGTGCTTCGAGCACTCAGACTCGGATGCTATGTGAGTTAAGCCGTGAGCTGGATGCAATTTCTGAGAATCGCAGGCAATTTGAGGCTCCTGGAACTCGCTGGCGTGAAGGAATCGACCTTGGAGAAGGCTACAAGCATTGCCCGGCAAAGTGACCACAAAATTTGGCTGTTTGAAGTCGCCATTGAGACGTACCAACAGAACTATGAAGGCAGACAAAAAATCTATTTAGCTATTTTTGGGTGTAACTGGGACCCTGAGTACATAATTTTGTTCCACATCATGTACCACATGTGGTGAGAATGAAAAAGAACCTTGAAACTTGAATCTGAACTTGTTCCTCTCTTTCTTCCTCATCAAAGTCCTCCCTCGGTTGCAGACTCTTTACTTTTCATATCAGCCTCTTCTGTCTGAGGAGGTTCTGAGCCTGTGACTCCATCACTCCCCTCAAATACAAACTGAAGATTCACGTTCAAAAATTGCCTTATTGTTTTGACTCAAACACACTAAAACTGACTAAACTCACTAAAACTTCACTGCAACTCTAAAATTTAAACACGCTAAATATCACAAATCTCTCAGATCTCGTCACTCACTCCGGCTCTCGCTGTGTCTCCGTCACTGACAAACTTCCTTGATTTTCCGCGTCTTTTTCTTCTTCCTGTAGATTTTTTGCTGTTTGACAAATGACTTTGGACCTCAGTCAGAAATGATGTGTGTGTGTGTGTGTGTGGGGGGGGGGGGGGGTGGAGAATGGATGGGGGTGTTTTCTCAGGAGCTCATCTTTGTAGCTGCCTCCAGCTTTGAACAGCAGAAAACTGGCATGACAGATCTGTGGCGTGATTCAGTGGTGGGATGTAACTAAGTACAAGTACTTTGTTACTGTACTTGAGTAAATTTTTCGTGTATCTGTACTTTATTCAAGTAGAGATAAACGTTGGTACTTTCTACTTTCACTCCACTACATTTTACATTAAGTATCTGCACTTTCTATTACACTACATTTCTATAATATAGATCATATCTCTACAGTTTTAGCTTCTCTCCATTGGCTCCCTGTCAAATCCAGAATAGAATTCAAAATCTTACTTCTAACCTACAAAGCTCTCAACAACCTAGCTCCATCTTATATTACAGATCTTATTGTTCCATATTTTCCTAACAGAGCACTTTGCTCTCAGACTGCAGGTTTACTTGTGGTTCCTAGAGTTTCCAGCAGCAGAATGGGAGGAAGATCTTCCAGTTCTCAGGCTCCTCTCTTGTGGAACCAACTTCCAGTTTCTGTCCATGAGGCTGACACATTGTCCAGTTTAAGACTGGGATTAAGACTTTCCTTTTTGATAAATCCTATAGTTAGGGTCGGCTTGTTATGCTGCTATAGACATAGACTACTAGAGGACAAACTGACCTCATTTCCTTAAATGAATTGTTAAAACTGAATAGTTTTCATTTGATACTATTTCTATCTTAACGTGATTCTTGACCTGCCATTGTGTATCTATTCCTACCAAACCCAGCTGGTCGAAGCAGATGGTCCTCTAGTCCTGATCCTGGTTCTGCTAAAGGTTTCTTCCTCATGAGGGAGTTTTTCTTTCCACTGTCGCCTTCATGCTTGTTCAAGATGAGAGTTCAGTGATGGAGTTAAACTCAAAGCTGCTCCTCACATAAATAATGTTCAATTATTATTTTATACATGAATGTTTCTGTTCAATTATTAT